TGTTATATGCTCTGCGTTAACCCTGTCCCGCCGTTTCAATACCCCCGGCTGGACTCCGGCCCGGTCTGAGGTAGGGCGCCGGCTGTGAGCGGCAGGAATTTTTTGTGTGATTCAACTCCCACATACCCCAACTGCCGCGCGTGCGAGGATCTCAAGATTTTCTCCTGTGGCAAAAAAAGATAATAAATGAGTTAATAAATCTACGTAATAATTGGCTATGCGGGCTATCATCCACCTGTCGGCTTGGAGATAGAATTGCAATGCAGTTGACATCCATCGCAATTTCTATGAACTCACGTAAGGGAGCCACAAAAAGACCTTACAGAAGTATCTCGACCTTAACTGAACCGAAATTGTGTTCAGTTGCTGACTCTCTGCAAATTACCATTCACGCAAAGGATCCGACATCCACATCTAAGGACATCTGTAGACATAATCACTAATCCTTTAATGATAGATCATGAACTCTTTCAATACGACTTTCGATTTCAACTACCTAAATAGTTTATAGTAAGCTTACATTCGACGAACAACTAATCTAAGGGCAGCTCTTTTACAGCTATCTGTCTTTTTCTCTCTCGCTGTGAAATACAAGGTTTTGAAAGGGAGCGAATATATAGTCTTTAATAGTTTCCACTCCAGAATGTCTAGTCATAACATCGAACCGGTATAGCTTACAAATGAGAATTGGTTGTTCGAGAAATTTCCGTTTAAATGGTCAAGATTGAGGCCAAAACCAAATACGGACGATACTAAATACTGCTATTTATTTTATATTTTACGATACATAGGTATGACTGAATAGCAACAAGATATGGATCGGTGTGTTTATATCTAACGTTAAGACCGTTTTACTGGATTAATAGATTCTAGTTAATAGGTCACCGGCCTCCTTAGATCCTGGGTTCCGAAATGGGGGTTATAACCAACCAGCGGTAAAACAGTTTGGAGCAATAAATTGGCAAACGAGATTGGACGGTTCCCTTGACGTTGACATGAAAACCTCTCAATTTTATTGTAATACGATTAAATATGAGCAGAAACCTCGAAAGCATAAACAAAAGTATATGTGTCAGGTGGTAATTAGTATAAAAGCTGGTGGTTATTGTTATAAAGTCATCACTTCGGCAGAGTCCGGCTGATGTAGCGAGCCAAGTATAAGTTTACACCTCAATGAGTCGCCACACGAAGCACTGGTCTGGGAACTATCTTACGGCTCTTTGTATCCGAGTAATTTTAATTGATTTTGCAACTATGTAGAATACTCTATCATTTGAAGTCGGAACATTCTCTAGAGAGATAGTCGTAGTGGTTTTCTCTTGTCTCGTAAGCACCATTTATCGAGGCTTTTAGGCCCTTAAAGCCTCTCCAAACCTGATTTCCCTGGTTCGGATATTCAAAATCAGACGACCGAAACTCGGCGTTGTCATGTTCGTTTTGCATCACACAGAGGACACATGAAGGTATCGAAGGTATGTCCCGCTAACGCGAGCAACTCCATTCTCCAACCTCTGACACTCTTAGACACATAGTAAGATGAAAATCGATCCAAGGGTCGTAGCCGGAAATGGTCCCAGGCGGCTGCGCCACGATGCTTAGCAATTAGCGAACGGTTAGTGGAGGATAAAGAGACTAGAACACGTTGTTTCTTGCTAGAGATCTACACGGAGTTTACACAATAAGTTACCCAGACAAGACCACCAGTCCGAACGACGTTCAACCGACAAATGGATAAAATGAAGATATTATAACTAATACTATTATTAAAATACAATTTTTATGAACTCTCTATACTAATATTGTAAATGCGTAAGTGAGTTTGCTGGTTACGCGTTCACGTCGTAACTATTCAACTGATCATCATGAAATTTTGCATACACATACGTCAGTCCGCACAGTACAGAATGAGCATTAGAATAAATTTGTTATTTATAAACTTTTTTGTTCCTATCTATTCTAGTAACCTCAAGAAGTTATACTAGATTGTCCGGGTGAGTAGCTGAGCTCACGGGGTTCTAACCTGACGACGTTGCTAACACTAACACTAGCAAGACCAGTGCTTCGCAGAATCTACCACCTGATCGGAAACACGGCCCACTGAGAGTATCGGCGAGAAACTCGGTGGGCTGTGTCTGTGGGTTAATTTGCTAGCCGACTCCATCGTCGCAAGAGACGGGTTCGACGAGAACGATGATCGGTGCTTGGAGGTACCTAAAAGCACCGTTAAAAAAATCTCGAACTGACTTAGGCATTATGGTCGCAAAACACTCACAGATAAGTGAGAAGCATGAAAAAAAAATCCATTCTTTTTTCGATATGATCTGATGAAGGTCCAAAAAAAATTGTCATGTTAAAAATGTTAAAATGTCAAAAATGTTATCATATTTACATAATCTTCAGACCTTTTTACATTCAGTTAGTTATGAACTAGATTTCACAGACGTGAGCTAAAAGTAGAAAATGATTTACATTCGTATGTACATATACGATATATTGTGGATAAACAACGGAATCTTACTTTCTATTCAAATTTATGTTCATATTCGTTTAGGACCGTTTGAAAAACAGTTCAAAATAAATTACAATAAAGATTCCGTTATTTTTATCTTTTTCGAATACGCCTTTAAATATTTAATATCAGCGATGTTGCACTTCTCGATTAGAGACAAAATAACATCAAATAACTCTAAACATCCTCATTTATAATGTATAAGAAATACTTAAAGCTGTCTAAACAACCATTATTTATTACCTTAATAAAATTAATATAGAAGTATACTTTGTGTCTATATTTTGCTATATCTATAATGGCTTAGTACCGGCCTTCACTTGTTAAGTCTAGCAAAATTTTAAACCAGTCGACGACATCTTTTTGAATCCGTTATAAGGGGTCATGTGATACCACAGCGTAAATGCGACTGCCCATCGTGAGGCCTAGAAGTAGTATAACAACTGTCCCACTCTTCAAACCAGAAGAAAGAAAAGAAATGTTAAAAGAAGAAACATGAAAAAGCCCTTCACATGGCACGTTGCAATGGAGATGTATCCAGAGGAAATTCATATCAAATCCCTATGCAGCATGACAAAAAGACATGCTGCACTGACTCCACGTAATGTGGAATAAGGCCAAGATTAACATGAAGACGGGAATATGCGCTTAAACCGATCCGTGTAGGCCTCATCATCACCTTAATAAATATGACGGAAATAACTGGGAAAAAATTACGCACGGTCACCCGCCCCCAAATTAGTATTCCCTGTGTTATGGGTACCAAAAACGGACATACTTACTTATATACGTGTAAATATAAAAATAAATATCCAGACAAAGAGCAAACAAACCTGTTCATCACACGAATGTTTGTCCGATGTGGGAATCGAACCCACGACCCTCGGCGCAACAGTCACCATCGCCAACTACTGCACCACTGAGTCAATCAGATTATTGATATTAATCGTTTATGATTCTGTTATGCTTATAATGTTATCCTTTAATGTATTATTAAACTAATCATGGAGTTCTTAACTATTTACAATTGTTAAAACTACTTTTTTTGCAGCGTTTTTAGTTGTCATTACAATATTTCCGACGTTTATAATGCGTTAAAGTTTCCGTGGTCACGGAGGACTAAGATGTTATTCGTCGATATTTCAATATTGCATTAAATTCGCGAAAACCAAAGGAATTGTTTACTATTTTTCTATATACAGCAGATATTTAAGGATCAGCCAAGCATTTGTTTTGAAATGATTTCAATAGACTTGCCAAGCAGTCATGATAAGTATGCTTAATTAATATTAAATACTTAATGAAATATTATATTTTTTGGAAATTTATAAAATGTATTTGATCGTCCCAAAAACAACTGAAACAAATTTGATGAAACTTAAGTATTTAATGGCTTACCAAACATAAAAACCAGTAAGTACATAATAATTCTATTACTAGTGTAGCAAATGCGAAAAATGTAACTATAAAACAAATAAACCCCTTTTATTAAAATTTTTGTTACATTCACATTCTTCATCATCCATCGATTGGGGTGAACAATATATTTGCAAATTTTTCGCATATTTATATTGAAGTGTAAAAATAAATATAATAAAGTTGAAAAACCTGATATTCCATGTGTTTATCTACAACTGGTCCCTCACGGGCGATTCTTGTGATTGTGCACTGTTACAAAGCTACAGTAGTTATAAATGTACTATCCGTACTCGCCCGCTTCGCTGGGAATTTAAAATTAACATTATTATTTATTTTTATTATTATTAGGAAGTCCAACACTCATATAAAAAAATCACTCAAATCAGTCCAGCTGTTTAGGAGTTCAGTGACAAACCCACGAACAGAAGAAATATATATATAAAGTCCGACGTTACTTCTGATATTGAGAAAACATAATTAAATCTCGAGACCATTTAATATTTCTTCCTTTAGAATGACTTTTTAGTAACTTTTTACGGGTGGTATTTTAAGCCCGCTTCGCGTCGTAACAAGGTCCTGACTATTTATGTCGCAACATTGCACAACATAGCGATTTGAAGGATGAGACACCCGCCATACCATACAATTGAGATTACGACCTCATGTCTCAATGTGGATGGCGGCATTCGACTGGTGATGTCCAGAAGCTGCTGTAACCACTTAAGAGCAGAATGTCCGCGATCTTTTATTCAGCTGTGGAATAAATGATTAAGAAGCCGAAAGTGATTAACCAACTTCACAATTGGAAATTAGAAGTTTAGGCTCTATATTTTTAAAACATGTGGTTCCTAAAAATGTATAAGTGTGCCTGCGGGTAAATTGCCTAGACCAAAATTACTCGAGCTAAAAAGGAAATTTACATAATTGAATTTAAAAAGACCTTTGAAGTGAGAACATTAATTAAACGCGTTAATTGATAGGTTTCTTATTCCAATTATTTTAAATTAACAATAACTGTCCTCATTTCACGTGATTAATGTTTAATTAATACGAATAATTTCTTTGTTCACAGCGCCCGAGAGCGACCGAGGACGGCACCTACGTTTCATAATGGCAAGTACTTGTTTTTTTTTTGTTATTGCTCATATTGGTGCGAGAGCTCACCAAATGCTCGCCAGTCTCACGGATCGTTTGGAACCTCTGGGTCTGCGGAGGGACTTCGGTTCTCTCTGTATTTTATACCGTATGTTCCATGGGGAGTGCTCTGAGGAATTGTTCGAGATGATACCGGCATCTCGTTTTTACCATCGCACCGCCCGCCATTGGAGTAGAGTTCATCCGTACTACCTGGAGCCACTGCGGTCATCCACAGTGCGTTTCCAGAAATCTTTTTTGCCACGTACCATCCGGCTATGCAATGAGCTCCCCTCCACGGTGTTTCCCGAGCGCTATGACATGTCCTTCTTCAAACGAGGCTTGTGGACAGTATTAAGCGATAGGCAGCGGCTTGCTCTGCCCCTGGCATTGCTGAAGTCCATGGGCAACGGTAACCACTCACCATCAGGTGGGCCGTATGCTCGTATGCCTACATGGGCAATAAAAAAAAAATAAAAAAATAAATAAAAAAAAGCTCTCATCTAGTTTTAAGTCTAGAGCCTATAGACATCAATGACGTGAATACCACCATGAGGACATGGTGTGTAAGTACCAATTGTAGTGTAGTAAACCCTTCAAACTAGAACGCATATCTCCTTCACGACAGAAATGGGCCGTGAATTCGTCAGGGAACTTAATGAGATAAGTCGGTTATTATTTAATAGCTACCCGGAGAGCCCCGTTTCGGGAACCCACCTCGTTATCGGGGCGACCGGGTTGCGGTACCTCGGTCTCGTATTGGACGGTCGTTGAGCTTCCACATTCACTTCGAAAATTAGTCATCCAACTAATGTCGCTGAGTTGGCTGTTGTCGAACGTTGGGGGGCCCGACGCAGTGGTGCGCCCCTTCTACACGAGGATGGTGTGGTCGATGGCGCTGTACGACAACGTCACCGCGTTGCGACGTCTTTCTGGGATCTGGAGACGGAGGTGCTCGCAGTTCGGATTACGCATGTCGATTCGATTTCCACTACGAGAGTCGCCTCTCGGCGTGGCAGAATTTCGGGCCTGGAGGCTCCAATCGTGGCGAAGTCTGCCTACGAGCGATGGACCGCCGAGGTGGTCCTCTCTAGGTGAATCGCGATCGAAGACATCTTCTGGGTAACGCGGTCGCTCACCGGACACACTTGTTTCGGCTGCTACCTGCACCTAGTTTACGTGAGCCGACGCCGGAGTGCCATAACTACAGTGGCTGTACGAGGACACGGCAGAGCACGTGGTCACAAACTACCACGCTTTCGCAGATCAGCGCCGTGTCCTCGTCGCGAAGATAGAGCTGGACTTGTTGTTGCTGACGGTCGTGGCTACGATGTACCAAAAAGGGTACGTCCGAGTGGATGCGACAGTCTTGTTTTACGATAATTTACCTCGAAGCTATCTTGATGAACACAAACTTCTGAAAAAGGAGATCCAGTGAAAATCATACAAAAACGTTGCAATATGAGAAATGAAATCGTTTTCTTAAAAACGGAATTTAATCTTAACTCAATATTTTTAAGGCGACCTTTTTCGGAGGACGGGAATAGACTAAATGCCATAGGCTAAAGCCATCTGAGTTATTTGAGAGTGGATGTAAAGTGCTGAATAGGGCAGGCATTCTTAGATAAAATCATCCCTTGCACGGCGGAACGTAACCGTATCCCTCTATTTCATGCACTTTCAAGCAGCAAGAGCAATGCTTCGCAGAATCTATCACCGGATCGGAAACGCGGCACACTGAGAAGATCCGGCGAGAAACTCAGTGGTCTGTGTCTGTAGGTTAATTTACTCGCCGAACTGTTCGTCGCAAGCGAAGGGTTCGACGAGAACGATGACCGGTGCTTGAGGTACTTAAAAGCACCGTTAGTGGATCGGGAGCGAATCCGAAATGACGTGCTTAAAGCGACGTCGACTGTTTACCATAATTCTCCTCAAGACAGTGACTCAGTATTACTTTGAACCCTAAACTTGGTCTATCTCTGGTACTCCCTCCCTATTGATTACAAACACTTCGACTGGACTGCGTTGAACTTAAAGAACGTTTGCCAAATAAGTCTCATGTATATTAACATTTATTTATTCAAACTCTGTGAGATCCGTGACTCGCTCGATGAAGACCGGTTTATATTTAAATAAAATCGTTATTGGTCAAAATACTCGAATATGTAATATTTATGTGTTATTAGTGCCTTCGATGCCATATTATGCAAAAAAGAAAAAAGTTTTTTACATCTAACTTCTAGTGGAATAAGGTCGACGTCAGCAACGTGTCCTCTTGTAACTATACTGAAACCTTAAAACTCATGCTGCATAGGGACACGGCCGGCAGCCTCCCAACCTTCCTTTGTTTATTTCTCCAGATTTTTTATACCTAGTCCAGCCATAAGTTCTGTTACAAATGAAAATGCTTTTTTTTTAAATGAAGTAATGTAATATTATTGTAATTCATACCTACATATTTATTAAAGTCTCTATACCCATTTTGTGCAAGGCGATTACTGCAATCCTATTCTCTTAACACCCCATTCCATATTGTAATTTGATAATGAACATGAAGAAATATTATGTATGTGAAATGGCGCAAAATCGAAAGAAGTTTTTAAAATAATATAAGTGTTCCAAATTCAAAATAATTAAAAGGTTGAATAAAAAGAAAAGTTTTTATGTAACAGTATTTATAGCCAGACAGACAGACATTCAGTATTGGCAGTTGAAATTTAATTAATAACTCAACGGCTATAAAAGAGCAGAAGAAAGATAATAGTTGAAATAAAGTGGTTTATATCCTTTTTGGTTGTAGTACTTGGGTGGATGAGTTCACGAACCATCTGGTTATCTAGCCACATCACAATCGCCACCCACCTTTTAGGTCGAGGTCTCAGTTAGATTGTATAACGGCTGTATCACTTTTGTAAACGGGAACGCGTGACTGTTTCGCGACATGAACACGCAGATCGGTGATGATACCTACCCACCCGTGAGAGCTTACAGTATACGTTCTACCAGTTGTAATTACGAAAATTCTCAATTTTTGCAGATTCGATTTTTAATTATACGATTTCGTCCCTTCATCGTGGAAGTCGTTCGTAAACATGTTTTAAGTATGTACACGCTTCTTTAACACTAATCATACCAACACTTACTGGTACCTATTTTTACTATTGCGGGTACATAAGGGTATGCGACAAGTATTACTCAAAATAAACAAAACAAAACAAAAAAATAGTATAATAACTGTAGATTAATTGGTTAGCAAAAGTCATGAAGTCAAATGTGCAAAAGAAATAAGATGATACGTGCCTTTTCAATGCAAAATTTTAAAATGGGTCTTTGACCTGTTATGTTTAGTTTTAAAAATATGTAAATTTCTGTGAGATTTGAACACCGCCATAGTCCCATCGCTCGCTTGATACGAGCTCTGTCGAGTTCTGGATGAGAGGCCGGTGAAAACGAATCGTCGATTTTAATTATTGTATTCATTAATTTTTTTGTACGGTTGTCAATTTCACTCTTTATTAAAGTAAGTATGAAGCCACAGAGAGCAACAATTTTTTTTGTACAAACCTATTATTTTTCTCTTAATTACTTAATAGTACGTAATTTCTATAATACTCCTAAACAATGTAAAAACTGTCTTATACCATAAACGTTGGTCGTATAACTGGAAATCCAATTAAATTTCCATTAAAAGTTTCTTACGTAACTACGCTCGAAATAAGATAATAGGTTGTTTATTTTTATATTGTATATGCGAGTGTGTACTTACGTAATCGTATGGAAAGTGCTTTACGTTACTTTCACTCGGCTTGGGTTTTTTTTTAATATACCAATAACATGATACCTGCGGCGCTTTCTTCTGATGGAAGCAGAAATAGTTAATTGAATCTTTTTTTATTTTATTTGATTCATTGATGGAAAGGTAGCATGGAATATTATGTGTGCATGTGGGTGTTACTGTGTGCGCGTGTGTGTGTTTTATACCAAATTTAGAACCCTGTCACTTTTTATCGCTTTCACTGGCAGTCGAGCGTACTGGCCATGCGATATAAAGAGATCGCTGTCGCCAATATAGACTGTTGTCCAATGTCAGGGGTACGGCCAAGATGCGGCCTTTTGCAAAAACTGTGTTTGAAATTGTATAGGTCATAGTACTCAGAATACTTTAACGGTAGGCAAGGGCTTGGCATTGCTGTCGTCCATGAGCGACGGTAACCATTCACCATTGGGTGGGCCGTGTGCTCGACTGTCTATAAAGACAAATGAAAAAAACACGCCTTATAGGTAATTCAGTTCTCAGTGCGCACCGGGTAAAGACAAACAGAAAGGTGCGCTGCCGATGAACTTAGACCCACTATGTAGTGAGAATAGAGTCTGTTCGTCGGTTGTCAAGATGTTGTCGAATAGATGATCTTGGAGTTAGAAGGTAACCGGTGGGGGATATTGGTAAGGGCTCTCGGGTTGGTTTGTAACGGTTCAGGCACCTTTTATTTGCTGATTTTGCCTGCTTTGAACGCGAAGCATGCCTTCGGGCTTGGAACGTACAACGCACGCACAATATGATTGATGGAACTCATGTCACAACGCGAGTGCTGGCATTTCAACTGCACCTTGAGCACTACCCAACTACGACAATTATAGCAAAAGTTGCCTGCGTCGATAATTTTACTCAATATTTATGGCGTAAAGAAAATTACTATACAACGCTTCATAGGCAATATGTCCAATATTGCAGATGTTTAAACGAAACGATCGAAAGCACAAAAAATATAAATCTGCGCTATGACTAGCGGTAAGCCTACATGGGTACCACAATTTCATATATTTCTGGCTTTTATAGTCACCCGTTTGAGGAGTTGGTTTTGACCAAAATGCTCTAGATAGGTGGCGAAATTCAGCAGATCACATCTGTTATAATAATATAATGCAAATCATAGAACCAAAAACAGATTAAATAAAAAAAACCACCGAAACAGAAGAAG